TCCAAGCCGGAGGCGGCCGGTACCTCAGCCTTGCCAGCGCGCCCAGCATCATGGCCAGGGATTGGGGGCCGAATGGCTGCGAGTCCACCAGTGCCGGCGTCAAATGACGCCCCACAGCCTCCAGGAAGGCCTGCCCCAGCAATTGCAGGCCACACGAGACGGGAGCAAGGGAGGTAGAAATCAGCCACCTCCCCGCATCACTTGCAGGCCACATTACTTTCAGCCTGACATCGCTCGCAGGCCACATCAGCCAGCTTTCAGCATCACTTGCAAGCTCAAGCACACACACCGCATTACCTAGGACACGCCTTCTCTTACGGCGAAACCATACATCATCACCCACCGCACGGCCCCACTGTACCCAACCCCTTTGCAATTAATCAGGGTCGCTCTCCGAATCCTCATCCCGCAAACCTGGGTCATATGCGTCAATCCGCCGCCTACCATCCAAACTCCAACCCCAGTTCGCAACCGCACCTCCAGCCACGCCTGGCTCGGGCGCACGTCCAACGAAGACAGCGCCCACAGTACCGTCGCCAGGTGCTGCGAACTCATCCTTCCCAGGGCAACCTGCAGCATCGCCAGCAGCTCGACCACGCGACCAGGCTGCTGCTGCCGCAGGACCGGGACATCCCCCGCCAGCGGCGCCACCGTCACTGCCACAGCCGTGTTGACCGAGTCCAAAAAGCCCCCAGACGGTGTGCTGCCGGCCAGAGAGTCACCGGTCGACATCCCAGCTTGAAGAACTGCCTCTGACTCCGCCTCCGTGGGCTCTGCTGCAGCCCGGTACGCTGGCGTGGCAGCCCTGGTTGCAGCAGCAGCAGCAGCAGCAGCAGCGTCGCATCGCCCGCTCGTGCTGGCGGCCCGGCTGCTTTCTGCCCGGTCAAGAAGGAGCTTCCGCAACACCGCCTCGTCGCCGTCGCAATCTGCGGCAGCGGCAGTGCTTAAGCCCGCTGCGGGCGCTGTGCTTTCGTCACCTGCGTCGCCAGCTGGGCGGCTCGCGGGGTCCGTCACGGGGTCTGTCGCGTCCTCAGGCTGCACACAGCGCGCCGCAGAAGGGCTGATTGCGTGCAGCCGCGCTAGTGCCCACATCATCATGCTGCAACTCTGGCCGGAGACCTACAGACACAGCGTAACAGTGCAGGGGCCCGAGGAAGGCAGCTGTAGCAACGCTATTGGCATGGCTAGAGATGAGGCAGGGTGGCATGGATATGGACTTGAAACATGCGGGACGGGCACCTTTGAAAAGGACAACCCCAGCTACCATCAAGCACAGGCACTGAGTTATCCCTCCGCCATCACCGAACCGACGGGCTTCACGGTCTCTCACCTGCTCCACCGACCCGCGGGCCAGAAATGCTTCCACCATCAGCTCCACCCAACTGTCACCCGGGTGGCAACCTAGCGACGCCAGGGCCCAGGCTCTTTGCGCCAGGTCCAGTGAACAGCAGGGCGATACCGCTGCCCTCGCCATAGCACTAACCCCGGGGCCATGCCGCGCCTCAGCTGCAAGCGGCGCCGTCGCCGTTGCAGCCGCTGCTGCCAACACGGCCACCCGCATATCAGCCCTGCAGGCGTTCAGCAGCGCATCCAGGGAGGGCTGGCCAGGATGGAAACCCAGGCGTGCCAGCGACCAGAGCGTCAGGGACAGGCCCTGCGCCGTCATCCCCTCGCTACTGTTAGTCAGGCTCCTCGATGTACCAGCAGCATCTTTCCGACCGCTACCGGAAGCGCCGGCCGAGCCTGCGATGTTTCCACACGCGCAATCCCCGGCCCGCCGGCATAATGCGTGCAGCAGCTCCGGCCGCGGCCGTATCCCCAGTGTGGCCAGGGCCCATAGGGTTCCGGACACGTGGCGCGGCTCAAAGTCCTGCAGCAAGATGCAGTAACCGTAGGGGCCGGCAGGCGCACGGATTGCCAGGGTGCAACGCCCCTACTAGCAACGTCCCTAACGATAGCGGTTTGAGTATTCGCGGAGCGCCTGATTGTCGAGGTGCTCAAACCGCACCCTCTCCCAGTAAATGTGTGCAGCCCACATGACCAATACAAACACCTTTGCTGAGAGACACACATACACACGCACACACAAGGGCCGCCATGGGTCCAGGGACCTCCTGATCCCATTACGAAACCCTCGAATACCCAGAGTCAACCACACGGAACACGAAGCCCAAGCGGCACACCCAGCAAAGTCGCGGCGGGGCCCACTGTGTGCTGCCCCGCCTGAGCCAAAGGCCCCCCAGGTCCACTGCAAACAGCAAAATCAGCAGTAGCAGCAGCCCCTAGCCACACAGCGCGCACCTCTAGGAAGGCCTCCACCGTTGGCTCCAGCATGCAGTTGACCCACGTCTCATGCAGCCAGGCCGCATGCAGGGACCCCCGGTAGGAACCCCTATGGCGGTCAGCTCCGCCACTACCCGGCTCCCCGCCCGTCTCAATGCGTCGCCCTGCCACCATGCCAAAACGGGGCGACGAAAGTCCATTCCCTCGCCTGCTCTCATAGTCAGTGCCATCGCCATCGCCATCGCCGTCGTCATAGTCGTACTCCTGCTCGTGCGCAACTGGACGAGACTGCCAGCCCGGAAGCTGCCCATCATAGTGCTCTTCCTGCTGCTCTTCATCGCGACCGCCACCGTGCAAACCTGCCGCAGGCATCGTAAACGTAGCTGCAGCAGCTGATGGCAATTGCGATGCGGTGTTGTTACCCAGCAACCTGGCCAGGGCCCGCAGGGCCATGGTGAGGTCTACGGGCGGAAAGGGCTCCCGCGAGGCGAGGCTTGCACACCCGCGGCCCAGCGCCTCCAGAAACTCGCCCAGCTGTACCCGATCCGTGTGGCTCAAGAAACGGGGCTCCGAAACCCTCAGCGAGATCACATGAAGCGCAGTAGCCAGGTGGCGGGGTGTGAACGCCGGCTGCTGTATTGACTGCCACTGCTGAGCAGGCGGCTGCATTGGCGGCTGCTGCTGCTGCAGTTGCATGTCCGGCCGAAGCATATCGGATTGACTCGACATAAGGGAGTCCTTTTGGAGGTCCTGTGCCTGGGCAAGTTCCGTCCGCGGGCAGTCCCTTTGGCACACAGCTTGGGATGCAAAGCCAGGCCGGCCATCAACTGACGCTGGTGCCAGCTGCAGCAGCGCCTCCTGCTGCAGCTTATCCGCCTCGGCCTGCCGTTCCCATGGCAATACGGGGTTCGCCTGGATCGGGTGATCTACGCGCTGGGAGAGCATAGGGGAGACGGCAACTGCGGCTGCAGCCGCAAGGCGCGATGCCTCCAAGTGTTGTTGCTGGTGGTTACGGAGCAGGTCCCGCAGATGTTTCCAGGAGGGGCAGCGGAGTATGGCCAGCAGCAACGCCTTGTCCGCCGCCTCCCGATTAAACAAGCCAGGTGTACGGGAAAGATGGGACGGTGCCGCTGCATCCTCCTGTACACCTTGCTGCCTGCGGTGCTGCCGTCGCTGCCCCTGCACTTGCTGTTGCTTCTGGAGCAGCTGGTGCTGTGAGTGGTAAGGATAACGACTGCTTGGCAGCTGGGGAGCCCAATCCCGCTGATGTTTAGATGCAGCAGACGGTGCATATGCATGGTCGCCCTCGGGAGGCGGCGGTGGTACAGGCGCGGTGCAGGGCGCATCTGCGAACTTGCGGTTCCGCCCAACACTTTCAGATATCCTGGGTTTGCCGTCTGTATGGTGACCAGCTTGAACCGGTGGCGGCCGGTCAGCCGGGGGCGGCTGGCCAGCCACAACCGTCCCCCCGCCAGACTTTTCACCTCCGGAAGCAGGAACGGCAGGGTCTGAACTTCGCGGTCCAATCCCGCAACCCCGCTGTGACTCTGGAAACCCAGTACCGATTGGCCCAGGGTCTAGGGCTGGCTGCGAAGGGACACCTAACTGGCATGACATCGTGGGCTCAGCTGTGGTCTGGGGAACTCGTGTTGATGCACGGGTGCACGGTGCCCTATGGACAGAGGAGCCTGCTAACCCGGGCTTCACATTACGAGTTGCCTGCAGGACGAATGGCACGCCAAGGTGCTGAAGTCCCAATCGCAGCCGTCCCCTTAATGCAAGGAAATCAGCTTGTGCTATACCACTCACCCATCGCGCCAGTCCAAGATCTTCTGAAGCCGCGTGCGATTTCCTGCGTTGTGCAGAAAGCAAGTACACGAGTTGTAGTAAAGCTTTGTAACACACAGGCGCGATGCATATCGGCATACTGTACCTCGTTGCGGCTACAGCAATCTGGGGACGACAGTGCGCGTGTTCGGGAAAAGCCTGAAGGCTTAAGGATCCGACAGCGGCTGCAGTGGGAACTGCACGAGGCCGATGATGCGGCGGCAATGGCATAGAAAGCTGCGTCTGTACCCAGGAAACATTGCCACAGCCAGCGCCAAGCGATGACGACAGGGACGCACAGGTTGCTGCTTGCATGGAGCCGCCCGTTCCAAACGCAAGCATTTGGAAATAATCTAGGAGAGATCAAGAGATTTTACAATTTGTCATTTACGTTCATACCACGATTAAAACCAGAGCGACCAAGAAGCACGCAAATATATTGGAATAGACAAGCAGCATACACATGCGAGCATCTGCTAAAGCGGTTCCTACAATCAAGCAGCGATCCTATGCATACTCGGAGGAAGAAAGTTAGCCCATGGTAGCAGAGAGGACGGATCAAGTGCCGTACTCGGGTCTCGGCTCCGGAGCGAGGTGTTGCAAAGTCGAAAATGGCTGTAATACGTTGTATCACATTTGTACTTGGGCTTGCATGTGATACCTCCTGAATGGTCAATCCTACCCATATAAACGTGCATCCGTATATTCGCTTCTATCGTTGCAAGAAGACACAGTTCACGCGACATGCAATTATCATATTACTGGCTGGGTTGACCACATTGACTTTTGTTACATTGCCTTCTGTTTTACCTCAAACGCTTGGCCATCGCGACACACTTACAGCCGCTAGGCTTGATAAACCGGGTCATACTAAGCGAAGACTGCATCCAATGGCCTCGGTGCACGGAGGAAAATCGGCTGCTGTGGGAGCTGGTCTGTCATTCCTTTCAGCTTCGCGGCCTCGGATAATTCTCTTTGGAGACAGCCTTACGGAGCGAAGCTTTGACAATCCGGAGGGTTGGGGGTCAAGTTTGGCGTCTTTTTACGTCCGTCGAGTGAGAGTTTAGCCCCGCTATGGCCGTTCGCATATGGGAAGCATGGCTGGTCTGCACATGACACGGGAAGGATGGCTGGTCTGCAGGCGGATGTCGTCAACCGTGGGATGTCCGGTTACAACACCCGATGGGCCATGGAAACCCTTCCTTACGTCTTTGGCCCCACGCTCACGCCGGGTGTTCCATCCCCCACGGCTGCATCTGAGCGGGTCATGTTTGCAACGGTGTTCTTCGGGGCCAACGATGCAGCGCGGCTTGAAGGGCCAAGGTACACTCCATGGTTCCTGCATTACATATTGCGTGACGACAGGAATATGGGAATGTCACTATGTGTGTGTGTGTTACATCTTGAGTTGTGGTACCCTCTAAAGGCGTTACGGGTGAGTACGAGCCGGGGGCCAAGCGCCAGCCGAAGGCCGTCCATAGCAGTTAGGTAACTGCAAAATAAAACTATTATCCCAGACCACGAAAAGAAAAAATATGCTCAGAAGTGCCTTTGGCGTGTCCTTTTTCTGTGACTCATGCTGCACAAAAGACCATGCAAATCAGCATGCAGCTTGCTATCGAGGGATGGACCATTTACGTCTGACTCCGATACGCTTTGTCCTCAATGTGGCTGGGCTCTGGCCTGCGTGCGTTTGGACGCGTCCTGGCATGTGTCCTAACGGCCTGGAGCTGATTTTCAAGGATTACCCGTCAGGCTAGCTGCCGTGCACTTCGTGGTATTTCCCCCGCCCGATTGTTTCGCCGTGCTACGGACCCTCTCACCCTCGCTGTCATACGCGCACAAATCGACACACGTACCACTTAGCCACTCTGCGCGGCAACATGTACCGCTGGATGAGTACCGGTCCAACCTCAAGGAGATGGTGAGGTACATTAAGGCCACCGGAGTGGAGAAGGTCGTGATTATCACCCCACCGCCGGTGTCAGACGCGGGACGCAAAGCGGCCCAAATCCAGGTACGACGGCATGCGGCCTTACACGGAATACCCACGCGATCCACGGGACTTGTGTAACGGATTAAACCAGGTTTTAGGATCTGGATCCCGAAACCGCTAGGGATTGTGGATCTCGTGTGAATGTTGCATCCCAGGTTAAGAAAATTCTTTCCACATGCATCCAGGAGTAAGAGGCAATTGCATATAATTACGAAAGCACGGGAAGGCGAAACGTGATGCGCCAAATTCGTGATGACCCCTTTGCCGCGGTAACACGTGCAGAAAATGGGCGAGCAGGCGCGCGACTGGCCATTGGACCGGAACTTTGCGACCTCGGCCCAATACTCCAAGGCCGCAGCGGATGTGGCCAAGGAGCTCGGAGTGCCATGCTTAGACTTGTTCGCTCTGCTGCAGGAGGTAGGGGCCCGTGCCTCCCTTGCCCTGCTTGATTGCCTACCCGGCGTGGTCCCTGTTCTCGTAACAGAGACAGACTAAGAAACGAACACAGTGTTCATTGCGACCAAACTGCGGTGCACAAGCTGCTGCCTGCAGGTCCGTAATCCGTTCTTGCGTATCTTGGCTCGCAGGAGGATAGATGGCAGGAAAGATGTCTCTGTGACGGGCTTCACCTCACGCCGCTGGGGCAGGAGAAGCTGGGCAACCAGCTGCGCTCGCTGCTGCGGCAAGAATGGCCGGACATCAGGTGCGGCTTCCGGTGGACCTCGTTGGGCTCGATGAGAGCCGCGGGACTGTGGGGGGCTCCTGCGTAGGCCGATGCCGTTACCGTTTGGAGCTAGGATGTAGTCTGGAGGCATCCGTGTGCGCCATCGATGGGAGCGCTGTGGGACTCCGGAACTGTACGTGAAGCGCGCCTCAAAGAGCTCCTAGGGCTCTTTGCCACACTCTTGGGGGCTGCCTTCGGGGAAGCTTTCATTGCAAGGGCGCATGTATCATCCATGTATTTATGTATGTATGTATGTGTGGGTTTGTCACGCGAAAAGGTGGTAAGCTCGCGTTGGCAGCAGTTACGGTGTCAGCCGACTTTCTGGTCATGGATGGTGGATGGGTTTTGCAGCATGGGCCATAGCAGGGCGACTTGTATTTGTGACGTAACGTCAGCCCATCTTGTGTGCAGGCCCATCGACCTGCCGACTCAGTTTCCCGCATGGGACGCAATCAATTTCGAGGATGTCAAGAGCAGCTTTATCGACACGGAGGCTGCATCCTAACGGCATCACCAGGCGTCGGCATATGTGACGGGAGGATTGGGACTTTAGTTAACAATCCAGTGGATAATCCCAGGTTCCATGATGCATGGAAGGTAGGGTACAGAAGCGCAACCAGAGCTTTGTGCTTCAAACTGTGGTGTACAGAAAACGGCCGCGGTGATGGCGCGTGACCTTGGGCCCTGGTGCGGCTGGGGTCATACGTGAAGAAACGAGAGGCAACTCGTCACTAACAATGTTATGTTACTTGCTGGTTACGTGGAAGGGCAGGAGCCACGAATTGTGACAGGTTTCACTCGCTGTTACGCCGCAAAATGCTGGCGTGGTGGTGTGTGCAGATGGCAGGCATGTGGGGATGCAGGCTGGTGTTCCGCGAGTGACCCCTCCGTCGCAGGGGCCCCTCGACGTAAGTATTTCATCCTAGTGTGTATTTGAGCACCGCGCCTTCGAGGGTCTTGAACATACTGGAACGAGTGTTGAGGGGACCTGATTACGCGTCCATGCATGCTGCGCGGTGTTTTGGCAAGGCGATTGAAACCCCAGGTCTTAGGACCCCTACGTCCGGTGCTCATCAATGGCCTTCGCTGGAATGCATGGTCCATGACTGCTACACACTGTCTGGCTGAGCTATTCGCAAGGCTTCGTAAATGTGTGCAACAGAGGGTCAGCCGGATTATTCGATTCAGCATAGAGCTGAGATTTAGCTATCGGCTTTTCTTGTGGCTTGGCTTGGCTGCAACCCTCGAAAAGTCGCCTCCTATGTTGTGGAGAACTTTCTGGCGACGTCGTCTAGGTGATCGAGGTTACGTTTTGCAATTAGCGAAAGGCTGTCGGGAGCAGTGCGGTGCATCAACCACTGTACGGTAGCATTGTCGTACGTTTTATTCAACCGGACAGCTCGGTTTCGGTTCCTCAATTGTGAAATGGTTATCTTCAATAAGGTCGTTGGCTGGATGAAGCATTGGCTTGTGAATTTCTGTAGGAAAGTAAAACTTGCGCAAGGATCCTGAACGAAACAACTCCACCTCCCATATCTGTGATACACGTTTATGGTGAAAGCATCATGATATTGTTGGCTTTGGTAGTACCGACATTGGATTTTTCCTAGAAGACAACGACTGTAGAAGTCCAAGATGGGAAAAGACAAGAAAAGCAAGAAGGACCGCAAGGAGAATAAGTCTAAAAAGGAGCGCAAAGAGAAAAGCAAGAGCCACAAGAGCAAGCGGGATGAGAGTTCTACAGACAGCTCTTCGTCCGATTCGGACGGCGACCAGCACCGGCGTATTGATAAGCTGGTATGGATTGATAGCTAATATGTAACTTATCTATTGCGAATATATGCGTTCCTAGCTCACGGAAGAATTCGCCGATATTATTGTTGCTGGGGCGGCGTTATGAAATGCACCCGACATAGTAAACGATCTGTGCTATGTGGTTGCCCCGGTTCGTGTTCCAGTAACGGGGCTTGGTCATGTTGCCGCTCCATAACGTAGCAATATCAGCACACACCACAGCCGGCACGCTACGGCAGTATTGACTTGTTCCTACCCTTCGCCAACTTCCCCCTCGCATACAGGCAACCAAGGTCGCTGCGCACCTGCAGCGAACAGGGACTGCTTCCGGTGCCCCGACCTTTGTCTGGGCCAAGAAGATAGAGCGCGAGCTGGAGAGCGGGAAATCAGTGCGGGACATAGCTGCAGCACAGATGCGGACTTCACAGGCTGAGCGCCTGGTAAGTAGCTGTCTGCTTCAACGGAGAGGAGCCCTGAAGGGTACTGGTACTTGATTGTGGGCTTAGACACGCCGGCATTGATGTGGAAACGTACGAGTATAGTATATGTATTGATGATCAGTGCCTTCGTCACCTGCTGTTCTCAGCTTCCAAGCTTCAATACACCACACATCTGGGGAAATATGCATTGGGGATAACCCCACAGAACCCTTGAGCTATTCTGAGGCGGGTTTGAGATCCCAGGGAGGAAACCACCACAGAGCTGGAGCTGGCCCGTGTACGTGGCCCTCGTGACTGGCCAGCAGACGTACAAAGCCACGTCGATCAACGCACATGGTATCCGCTCTACCTGGGGACCGCCTCACCCTGAGCATTCCCCTCGCTTGGAACGTGCTCATGCGGCCCGTAGGAGGAGATCGAGAAGGTCCGCAAGCGGCAGGCCGAGCGCGAGGAGGAAAAGGCTCGGAGGGAAGAGGAATTGGTGAGCTACGCCCCCGCATTGGATGGGCGCTCTGGGTTCCCTGAGTGCCGCCAGGAGGGCTGCACGAGCAGTTAGTTCTGAGTGTAGCAGTAGGAAAGAGCCTTGCCGCGCCTTTGCTGGGTGTTCCTCTGGGTGAACACGGGTCCTTCACGCCAAGAGGGACAGGTCCGTGGTCATCTTATCTGTCGATTTGACGGCTCGAAGTCATTTGACGGCTCGGAGGTGTACGGCCAGCCCTACGGTGCCCCGGGGTGGCCCCTGGGCCAATACATGACGGACACTATCCGTGGGTACACGGACGTCCTTTCCTCCGTGTTCCGACCGCGCATTTCACGGACCTGGTTGCCCTTGAGCCACCACCGCTTCGACCGCCGTTCACCCATTCTATCTGCCATCCCGGTGTCTCGATGTCTTCATACAGCTGAACCGTATTTGTTGATACCACCTCCCGCTTCCGGGGGCTTTGCGGCATCAGGGTGTGCTTGTCCTTTCCTGCCTCTCACGGGCTACACGGACGACTGTTACGTGCGCTCAATAGGAATCACGCTCTCCCCGGCTGGTGCCTTTCACCTCTCTAACATCCCACGTCGCTCCACGTGCCGCCGTTCCGCAGTCCCTCATCCAGCGACTCCGTGCGGCCCAGGAGGCTATGGAGTCAGAGGCGAAGGAGGAGGAGTTCTATCTGAAGGCGCTGATCGGGAAGGCCGAGAAGCGCTTTGCGGAGGTGCGTCTACGCGGCCCTGTCTCCGTGCTTCCCTGCTGCATTCGGATGCAGGGAGGCGCGTTTGCTTAGCACAGTACGTGTTCTCCATGTTCCATACTTCATGAGTGACTGCCACGTCCATAACACCCTCTTTCCTTCAATATATTCTTCCGGTTGCGTAGGGTCGGCCATCCTCTATTGACAAGATTGCCAAGAATCTGCACCTGCACGGCACGTACGGGTGCGACATGGTGGAGCCGTGGTCTTTCTTTGAGGGGTTGCTGCTAGACGAGGCGAAGGAACTGCATCAGGGCATTGTGGACTACCAGGTGAGAAATGTGGGCGCCAGGTCGGATGTCGGGGTTATCGCTGGGACGGGTGAGGGGTGTAAGAGGTGGGGCTGAAAACGAAGCAGCCAGTGTGCGCGATGACAATGGGAGCTTTGGCCCCGTCTTTGCGTCTCTGAGAAAAGTAAAAGGAAACTCTGGCCCTGGCAAACGCCCAGTAGCTGCTGGCTTTTTGCTGGTTTGGAAAGGGAGGGAGGGATTTTGAGTTTGGAAGGAACGACGAAAGGAACGCATGCAGGAGCGAAAGGGAGCACTGCTCTTCTGTTCAGATGTGGTGTTCGGTGCCATGGTGACGACCATGGTGCGGACTATGCCAGAGTGGCACCGCCGCGGCATGATTAGATTTGCCCTGGAGTGCTGACATGCCGTCGCTGAACTGATATATTCCCGTCGCGCAGGAGTACGACAAGTATGACGACGTCCATCAGAAATTCTGGGCGGCGCTACGCATTGTGGCGGATGCCGAGCTGGAGGAAGCCATGCAACGGTGCGTCTGATGTCGCTTTGATGTGTCGGCGCCGCATTGGGTTCGTGCTTGGCGTATCCCACACCCTTAGGGTAGCCCAGCTGCACCTGGTATCCCATCACAAGCGGTCCGCGGGCCAGGGTTCCGTAGAATGGTGGCAAACCCACCTCGACAGCAAGACACCCTGGACCGCATCCGTCACATTCAATGTTGTGCAGGGACGCAGCTGACCGAGCGGCCCTGCGCCGCGGCGGCGACGGCGCCACCGGGGCGAGTGGCTCAGGGCGGGCCGGGTCCGAGGAGCCCGGGGGCCCGCACCGCAGCCTTCACACAGACGTGGAGGTGCAGATTGAGAACATGCTGTCAGGTGAGTGCTGGCTGGTGCTGGTTGGGTAAAATGTGATGGGGGCCCGAGTCGATTATACGGCTGCAGGTTGTAAGCCCATCGCTGGTCTGTTCTCCCATCTGGGCGCTGTGGAATCTCGTACTTCTGGCTAGCTGGCCAGCTGGTCTAAGCTGGCCATTACTCCAACACTCTGTTTCCCTCCCTATGTTGCCAAGGGCAGGCCAGACGCACGCATCCCTGGTGGCCATGGAGGCTGATGTGGAGCGGGCGCTCAAGGGGGGCCTGGGCGACCCTGAGTACTGGGAGGCCGTCCTCAAGAGGTTGCAGGTGTGGGTCGCGAAAGCATGATGGATGATGGGAAGAGGAGGGTGGGGTGGGCTGCAAGACGGTCGTAGACTACCGGGCTGTATGCTGTGGGGATGCACGCGCAGCTGGGAATTTCCTCTGTAGGCGTGTGGTCGGAAGCCCTCCTAGGGAACGACGCCTCTATCTTAGAGAGTAGTCCTGTCCACTATGTCACCGCTGCTGTTGCAACCAAGCACCGAAGTCTTGGACCTCCTGACCGGATGTGCCTTTTGCTGATATGCGGCGGCGGCTCCCCTTGGTTAAACGTTTCCATAGGTTCACAAGGCTAAGGCACAGGTTCGCGAGCTGCAGGCGGCCATCATGCAGCGCCACATCAGCTCCGAGATCCTGAAGCGCGAGGCGGCACGGGAGGAGCGCAGGCGCCAGGCGGAGGAGAGCAGGCAGCAGGTAACAATATGGCGTGTATGACAATTGCAGCAAAGCCCAGGGAGGCGGGATGTAAGGGAGCACATTGGGTTTATGGGTTATGGCGTGGGTGATGTTGTGTGACTGAGTGGCTTAACTACCTGTCGAGGTCTTGGCGGGAGGAAGGCTCTCACCCGCGCGGTGGCGCAGGTGCGTGCTGGGCCCCGTTGCGGACGTGTCCGGGGGTTGGGCGCCTGGCGGACTGGAATCGATCTGCATCCAGTTGCGCTGCATTGTACGCGTTTGGGCGTAGCGATTCGCCGATCTGGGGCTCATGGACGAGTCCCTCGGCCACCTCTCTATGCCTGCTGCTCGCGTTTCGTTCTCCTGGTCGTGTGGCATTAGCCAGGTGGCAGCGTACCGGGGTCAGTCGCGAGAGGGGTTCAGACAGGCTGACAGGTATAGCCCATGCATCTGCGCTCGCCGCGGTCTCGTGTCTTAACCGTTTCACTACCTTGTTTCGGTACGTCACAGGCCCTGGCGGAGGGTCGCGACCCCGGCGAGCTGGGTCTGGATGGGGCGGAGTCCAGCAGCAGCGAGAGCAGCAGCGAGGACGGGAGCGAGGGTGCGGCGGGCGAGGATGGCGAGCAGCGGGAAGGAGGCGAGGCGGCGGAAGGACGACCGGCGGGCGAGGTGAGGGGATGCGTGTGCATGGGGAAAGGTAAATGCGCGTGGTCAATCCGCATGATTGGCTCCGGTAGCCAGCCAGTCGGGGGGAAGGGAGCTAATTCAGTTGCGACGATGTGGGCGCTGGGGTTGGGGCTGAAGCTAGCCGGGGTAGCATAAATGGCCAAAGGGCAAGGCCGGCAGCTGTGCGAATTGCTTACATGACGCAAGCCAAGCGCCTAGTGCGTGGGCCCGACCCGCGGTGCCTGGTGTGTTTCTGGTGGCGTGTTTCTGGATGGCAAGCTCGGCATTGGTCTTAGCCCACTTGCGGCCGTTGATTGCGTACCTCTGGGGGAGGAAAGTGGGAAGCTGTGACGGAACACACAGCGTGTGCACGCGTTGGCAACCCTTCCCGCCCATGCCAACCCGCCCGCACGACTGCCTGCCCTGTCCTGCTGCCATGCCCCTGCCCTGCTGTTGACGCGCCTAATTTTCGCATGCACGGTTTCGCTCCCAGCAGGAGGGTGCGGGTGAGGGTGAGGGCGCCGGCGCGGGGCCCTCCGACCCAACGGCGGCCGCGGGTGCCACGGCCGGCGAAGACGAGGATGCAGCGCTGGACCCGCACATCTCCGATGGCCGTTACAGCCCGCCGCCAGTGAATCCGTCGGAGGTTCCTGGTAAGGACGTGATCAGCGAGGAGGACGACTACAGGTGCGGCGCGCAGGCCGACTACAGGGGCGAGTTACGGCTTGGGAGAGGACCTCAGGCGCTCCTTGAATCTGGGGCGTGGGGGCCGTGATACGGGATATCGAATATGTAGATGTTTGTGGAATTTATTAACAATAGGGTGTGGTATTGGATGTTTAGGTACGTAAAAACATCTGCATAGCCAACCATTAGTGGGCGTACAAAACCGGGCTGTTAGCCGGGTAAGGAGCGGATCAACACTTGATGCATGTCCCGCCAGAGCTGTCAGCTCGCGGGCGAGTGGCGAAGAAGATGCGGCCCGGGGAGGGGTTCTTCTGTCTCCACCCTTGAAGAAACTTCCGCTTGCTAGGCGTATTTCGTGGCCCAGTGTCTTTCGGTGCTTTACCGTACAAGTCTCCTTTCCAAAGCTTTGGTCCATTCACCGTGCTGCTGAGAGGCACCGGCTTGTTGAGAGGCATCTCTTTCCCCATCCTCCTTCTAATCGCGCTCCTACAGAGCTCTGGCGCTCCTGCGGCAGCAAGTCAAGCTACAGGCAGCCAACGCCTTCAAGGCTGCCGCAGCGCTGGCGTCCGTGCCGGGGGCCAACAACCAGACAGCTGCAGAGCGGGCCTACCAGGCGTTACTTGCTCGGGGCATGGGCGGTGGGCACCCCATGCTGCGCAACCTTACGGATGCCGGACAGGTAGGACGGTCCCGCGCCAGCGTGGTAAAGAAGGCCAAGAAGTCATGCGATTGTGTCGGCCAGAGCGAGTGGGCATGGCGGTGTCGTGTCGGCGGTTGGGCACTTTACCCGCTTAGGAGTTTTGAGCACAAAGGGCGTTCTTAATGCCGGTTGGGTTGAGGACGGGCTAATAGGTTATGTGACGCGAGTTGAGTAGGCCGCGGCTCACAGCTAGTGGTGAGATGGTCGAAAGGGTAACAGTTGCATGGATGGCCGCGTGCGAGGGGTGGGGCGCAGATCCCGTTCTCCCACCTTGCAACGCAGGCAGGCGGCAGCGCTGACGCAGGCGGCGGCTACGTGCCCTTCCGCGGCACAGGCCAGTTCCGCTCAACGGCGGAGGAGGATGCGGCGGCGCTGGCGGCGTTTCGGGCGCAAGCGGAGCGCACCATGGGCCAGGTAAGGACCGAGCGCGAGCGGAAGGCAAGGACAGGGACAGGGAATGCATAGGCGCCAGACGGCGCCGGGACGCAGGACGGTTGCAGGAAGCGGCTTTTGGCTGATCCGCAGATGTCGGCTGCCGGGAAGGCGAGCCCACATGCCGGCTTCCCCTTACGTGGCCAGGCGGGTTCTCAGGTCCCGCGGCGGACACTGGGTGTTGGGCTTTGAAGCCCGCCGTCGATATGTCTTGCTGCTAGCTTGCGTGTCAAAATTCCTGGCGTTTGGACCTGCGAGCTGGAAACTATGCGCTCGCACCAACCGCAATCTGGCAGGATGAGGGCGACCGGGCGTTCGGCGGCGAGGTTTCCCTGGAGTCCAAGGTGTATTGGTGGCACGAGAAGTACAGGCCGCGCAAGCCCAAGTATTTCAACCGAGTGCACACGGGGTGCGGAGGATCAGGGGGCGATTTCGATTGGGGGGTTGCTTTGGTGGGATGCGTGCTGGGTTACAACAAGGCAGAGTGCCGCCCGTTGCGACTGCGGGAAACGCAGCCTAGGGTTTGCTCGGGGTCTGGGAAAAAAGGCTCAGCTTGATGGTTGGGTTACGGGCGTGCAGCGCGTTGTCGTCATAATGCGGCTTAGGGGCCGTGGTGGCAACTGGCTTGCTAAGAGGCGCGCGCGTCCGGCAGCCCGCAGCCTCTGGCAGCTTAATAAAGAGGTGTATTTCGCCGCGCAGATGCCTAGGCAGTGCGGTCGCGTCCATGTGCCGGATTCATTGCCGCCCTGCTGAACCTCGCAGTGCAATGCTCGCGACGCGTTTTAATTCCTGTGTTGTGTGCCCGCGCTTTCTGCCGCCGCCTTGCGCAGTTACGAGTGGAACAAGTACAACCAGACTCACTACGACAGCGACAACCCGCCCCCCAAGGTGGTCCAGGGCTACAAGTTTAACATCATGTATTTCGACCTCATAGACAAGACCAAGGTAAGCAACCGTCGCCGGGTGACCAGTCTGTCCGTTGTTCACGGCCAGCGGTCAGCCAACGGGTGGATCGTGGAAGCCGCGTATGGTAGCTGCCAAACGTCGTGCCCTTTTCCGGTCATGTCTAGGTCATTTTTTTTCCACCAGTTCTGTTTTTTACCAGTTCAGGAAGCATACGCATTGGTACGTTGGCAGCGCCGGGTTACACTCGAATCCGTAGGAGACGGCGCGTCCGACGTGCACCGACCTGTGTGAGGGTGATGTGCTACCGAGCCGCTGGATGGGGCATCTTATGGCACCGGATGTTACCCAGGGGGATAAACGCTGCGGGACCAAGGAGCGTGTTGTCGAATATTCGCTGTCGGGTGGGCAAGCGCGCTCTCAGAACTAGATTGGCATGGCGATGACACGACTTCATGCTTCAACGCCTGGTGGCGTCATGGGTTCCGGTCTGAAGGTGCATGTGATGGCACGACGCATGTGGCACCTGGGCCGAACACCAAAACCGCTGTTCCCTCTGCCACGCTCCTCGCCTTTTCCAATATCTTTTCTTAGGCTCCCACGTACCGTGTGGCCGCGGACCCGGCCTCCACTGACAACTCCACCTGCCTCATCATCTTTTCCGCGGGGCCGCCGTACGAAGACATTGCGTTCAGGTGCGCATGATTGACAAGGCGATGCACCCGCATGAAGCTTCTGCTGCAGATGGGAACGTCCGGCGGTTCCCTCTGCCTGGCGGCTTGATGTTATCTCGAGGGCGTCAGTCCGGACTGCGCTGCGGAGCATAGATGAAGCTAACAGCATTTCGGGGTTGAGCGGTCGACATATCGAATGATGGATGTCACTTGGTCGAAGCGTAGTAGCGCCCTTTGTCACGCACATGAACGGCGTGGCACCATTCGTCCATGCTCCTAAGCTCATGGCAACGCGCCGGCAGTCTCCACGCGTGGCTTGGTTCCCCCCTGCTTTTCTAGTCTGATCCGCTGCCCTGCCCCGCTTCCCTTCCTATGGTTGTTCCGTTTGGTCATCCAGGATCGTGAACAAGGAGTGGGAGTACTCACACAAACGCGGTTTCAAGTGCACCTTTGACCGCGGCATCCTGCACGTCTATTTTAACTTCAAGCGCACTCGCTATCGTCGCTAGCACGGCCAGGGTTGCAGCTAGACTGGCACACCGATGGCGGCTAGGGCTGCTACATGTGCAGGCCGTAGAGCCCCAGCCCGTGTGCTATCGTTCATTCGGGAGACTCGTTTCGATGCTCCGATGCTCCGGTCGGTTGGGATGTACGATTGACGGATACTTCTGACTGTTTTAGGTCTGTCTTATCGGGACTGCCGTTGTGGACGCATGTGGAGCCCCAGGGGACCCATTTGTTGCGACCATGGTGCTAGCTGCGCTGTGGCCCTAGAGTAGTTGAAAGCTCCGTCTATATGTACATAGTTATGGTGCTTGCTTAATATTTTTTGGCGTTTTGGTGTTTTGGCGGCGCGGCTTCAGGCTTTTCGCATGTTCAAATGCAACTGAAAGCCATGGCACCATGGTAAGTCACCACCTATGGTAAAGCAGCGCCTGAGTGACGGTGCAGTTCTTACAGACACCCGGAGGTCACGCTGGCTGGACTCCTGGCCTCAGGAGCAGACTACTGCCTGTACCACTCATGGGTGACAGGCCTTGCCGCTTGTTTTCACTACAGCTCCTTAGCAACTCCTGTGTATGTGGAGGGGGGTAATGAGCGCTCCTTGCAAGCCAGAACGCAGGTCGTCGCAGGCCATGCCTAGGGCTTCCCCTAAGGATTGCTGGACAAAGGGGCGGCTTTAATTGTTTGGGGCTGCCCGGGCCGTGATACGGATCAGGCCTTGGCAACCCTTGGGGCCTCTGTTGGCCCACAGAGTGTTTGTTGCGGAGAGTACTCTTCGGATCCACTGCAATCCATTTATTAGGACAAATACAGGGTGGCGCGGACACCAGTGATACGTACACCTCGTGGATATAGTCAGACCTTTCTGCGCTTTGTCTTGCGCGTGGATTGTTATTCCTGTGGATGGCAACACCTCCGGGAGGATGCATTACTCGGCTCTTGTTTTCCACGGGTACTCGTGCGTTCTACAGTGCTTGACAATGTACACGGTGCAGAAGGAGCCAAAGTTATATATAAAGGCGCCATTACCGTCAGTCGAATTACTAAGGGGAATGGTCTGATATCTGAAGCTAATTGGGTGCCGGCCAAGGTGAAGCCCCGCGCCCAAATTGGCGAATTAACAGTTACTATTACCTAAACTTAGTAACAGTCGGTAGGCTAGAACGAAACCCTACCGTTAAATCTAAAACCTCGCGCTACGCGTATGTAGGCCTGCCCACCTGAAGAATTGTCTAACTGTGTAGTGGGTGTGGTTGAGGGTGCTGCAGCCTATGTTGTGATGGGACTTAGGAGAAATAGTAGGAGTACGGTTAGCCGAATGAGGTGCGATTACCGAAAGCTACCTGATGAGTTGTGCTCATGTAACAAACTCCACACTACAAAACATTCGTCGTCTTGTACCTGGTTTGTGCCTTGGTGGCCGGAAGGCCGACTTCTTCGCCTGGTTTGCCTGGGATGTGTTCGGGTAATCCAGGATGCGTTCGGAAAAGCCTGGGCCTTGTTGTCCGAAAAGACAAACACGGCATTACAAGCAACATAAGCATGGTCCTCTCCTTCCTCTCCCTCCTCCACCTCCTCCACCTCCTCTCCCTCCTCTCCCCTTTGAACGCTTTGCTGATTCATCTTGCAGATGTACTTCCGGTTTCAAGGTTCAACTCCGTACACATCTCTATCTGCAATTCTCGAGTACAATGTTCTGTAATTTTTATTTCTAGTTCTTCTTTCCTTATTTGTCTCTTTGCATGCCGCTTCACGTTGCCGATTTTTCAGACGTTAACGAATTCCGCCAACCTTAATCCGCCTAATCCGTCCTAATCCGCGCGATGTTTGAAAATGCAACGGAGTAAGCCTTAATCCGTGACTTTTAATCCAAGTGGAAACACCCCCTTTGATGGCAATTCGTAACGTGCTTCCTTAAGAAACCTCAAAAATTGTTTTGCTTCTGCTAAAAACACCCGCTATCCTGCAAATATATCCTGATTGTAGGATCAAGGTAGGGGCGTTAGGCGCCTTATTTTGCTTATGTGACTACGAGCGGTGGTGATGGATAGATGGCGCTGGGTACGAATTCGACAACAATAGCTCGTTGGAGCTTCCTGGATGCAGCATCGCTTTGCTGGTCTTAACAATTCCGATCTTGATTTGTGGGGCACGCCTTCGTCTATGAAAGTGCTCGCGACATTTTTTACGGTTAGGGCTTTAGTGTGGACTGGTGTGAGGACCAGATGAGTACATACATTGTTTGCGTGTTTGCTTAGTGTTTTGGGGGCACCGAAAAGAGCGTAGTAGGCAGTAGGCAGGCTCTATTTCTTTAAAGTTAATACGATACTGCAGAAACCCGTAGAAACGTTCTCACTTAACTAACGGGACTTTTCGACAAGTTTTGCCTAACGCCCGATCGTATGCTGAAATATAGTTGTTATTATTATGAGCTAACAAGAGTAATATGTTGAATTTTGCTGTACGAATGCTGTCATGGCTTAGGGTGCATTTCCAGTGCGGATTAAGGCCAGGGATTAGGGCACGGAATTCCTTGATACGAGCTTACCACATAGTTTTGTTCCATAAGGGAACCAAAGGTTGAAAAGGCGAGGTAAGTTTGCCAACAACTTAGCCGTTTGAGCAAGTATCGATGGATGACAGAGGGTTAATCCCTGGCCTTAATCCGCACTGGAAATGCACCCTTATTAATTAGCTTTAGACTTGGGGAGCACTCGTATGGGTTACCAAAGCTTATGAATATCCACATTTCTGAAATTCCCAATCTGCTTTTGTAACAGAGATGCATGCATGTTGTCCCGTTGACGCCCGTAACCTTCGACTGTACATTGCATACCGTACGTCGTATAACAGCCATCGTATATGGGAAAGTATCATAGCTCTGGTGGCGAGCAGATGGGCAATAATTGTTTATAGATATACAATTACAACTATGGAAGAGCTCCAGGTCTTACCCTGACAGAATACAATGACCTTGGAGGGACATTGCAGCAAGAGAAAACTCCTCCGCGCTGATCGGGTTTCCAGCGGGGACTGCGCTGCGACCCGGCTCCTGCTATATCAGCTCAGGCCATCTACTACGCATATCCTTGCGGTGCTTGTGGCGGCGTGGTCTCTTGCCGCAGGTCAGTCGATCAGTGGGAGTGCGCTCTCTTTAAGCGCATAACATTAGTCGAGTTGCAATTAGTCGCACCATTTTCATTGCGCAATCTATATTACAAGGAACTTCAGGTTGTTGATCATGAAGCCCCCCCGTCACCTACGTACTCTTCGTAGCTGAGCCCACCAATGCGGCGCGGGAAGAGACGGCACCGTGCAGCGGCCACATCAAGGTAGTATACAATGTAGTGTCAGAAGATGAGTGCTGGGGGCTATGCCTGGCGTCCGGTGCTTGCAGCGCCTGGTCCTTAAGGTGCGCACAAAGCTACGTACGTGAATTACGTTAGAACGCGATTTTCCTGCTTTTCGGGCGCTATTCCGTAAGAAGGTTGTGGCCAAGGTCTTCTGCTAGAATGTAACGCACGGCACTGCAGATAGTATTAATTTCTATGTTATGTAACCCTATACAAGCTATTGACCCTGGGCCCTGGGCATGTGGCGCGCACACTCCGACTCGGTGACCTGTTTTGATGCGAACATGATGTGTGTATAGACCTTGGGAGTTAGAAAAGGTAGTAATCGGAGACCAGCCAGCCGGGTACCGTCGGCATGTGGTAACTCGATCGATTGCCGCGGGGTGGCATTCCTATTCTGCTGCTTGCTGTGTCGTTAATTAGCCGCAACCGCAAGATCGGATTTGTGAAGCAAAGGTCCCGTGAGGCCACTTCACACCTGATATCGTTTCGTTCCCGGCGCCGCGTTGATATGCAGTGCTTGTGGATTGAATACTTCCTGCTGCTCTATCTGCATGAGTGGGGACGCTCTGCAAGGGCGGTCTGCTGCCCTCCCGCCGGCGGCTGTTGGAGGTAAGGTCGTGATGGCGTACATGGGCTCGCAAAAGACGACTGTATTTTGGTCCGGGCACATAGGGGTGGACGTGTAATGCAGTGAGCATGCGTGCATGACCTCATAAGGCCCAGCCGTACGCCCGCTGCAGCCGCCCCGTTATGATGTCCAGGTCTCGAGCAAAAATAGCCAATGATCGTCTCTAATGGTCTCCTTAGGTTTCCAAATACTTGGGACAGCGAGAGTGTTTTTTTCCAAATTGGAGCAGAAGTTTTTATGACATGGGGAGCGATAACATTTATTTTTGTTGTGTCGCTTATCACTCCTGACCCAATCGGCTGGGTGGGATACAGGACCCCAAACCTCCTTTGAATAACCAACACAGAGCTGCCGTACGGCTGTTAGGTGCGAATAACAAGTGTCCATCCGGTCCATGCAAATCCTCTTAGTATCGCTTTGCTAACGACATAATGGACTTTGTCCTGAGGCTCTGGAGGCCCCGCATCTCCCCAAGGTTTCCTAGTTGGTGAACTTCCACCCTTGTTTACATCTGAATTGAATTGAATTGTTACAGAGTGGGAGGCTTCTGGGCCACTTGAACACATTGTCAATCCTACGATTTATCATACCATTCAGCACCATCCACCATTACCACACTGTACTACGCTATACGAAATGGCGGTTGATCCAAGGTTGGTCCAAGGCGGTTGGTCCAAGGCGGTTGATCCTGCCTTCTAAGATCACTCCTCATCCATTCACCTAAACATTGGCAGAGACAGAGGGTTCAGCAATCGCCACCAATCCAGCGTGCGAATCTCGATACATCATCTGTGATCTCAACTCCACATCTCAGCAGCTAGCCATAATCTCACGCTCCCGACATTGTCGGGGGTCTCCCCAGGAATCGCACCTAGGACCTTCAACTGTATACGATAGTCGTGTCACCCAGACCAGACCATGCATGTATGTATGTTTGTAGGCTCCCCTGCCAGGCCAACACCGCCGTCGCCCACGGCGTCTTACCAGAGTCTGGAAACCTCGATGCTGGGCCCGCCGCCAAGCCCAGCATCCCAGGTATCTGTTTCTAGGAACCTCCTCCAATCTAATTATTATGGGCCACCTCCCCCCCCCATCCAATCTCCCCCCCACCATCACTGCAACCGCCACAACTTCCACCACCACCACCAAGCCCACCCCCACCACCATCAGCACCGCAACCACTTACACCACCACCACTTACACCAGGGGATCCTCAG